ACCTATAGCAGGCAATGAGACTGTTATATCTCCATGTTACTCAGAGTCCAGAGACTGGAATATAACTTACCTAAAAAAGGTATGTCTGCTTGAATTAAAACCTTCTCTCAGGAAACGTAATAATACAGTAGTATTATAGTAATATGGTATTGCAATAGGTAGAAGACAATATACTGTAGATAGTGACATTTTAAAACAACGAGAAGATCATTTAAATTGTGGTAAAATGTAATGGTGTGAGACATATAAAAAGGAGGAATTGGAAGCAAGGGGATACACTCATATAGGGGTTAACCCTTTAGAAACTACAGCAGTAGTGAAAACAAGGAAGAAGAGACAGTGAGTGCCCCTAAATTAAAATATAGCTTTTAATAGTATAGTTAAAATTAAATAGTGTATATGCTATAAATTGGAAAGAGAAAATAAACTAAGATATATTAACAATGAACCATAAAGGTTATAATCCTAAAGGGAAAACCAACTCACGCTAAATGTAACTATAATCAAAATGAAGTCCTGTTCAAAAGTTTTCAGGATCCTTCTCCTAATAATATGCAAAAACCAGTGGTTTTTACAATAGAACTGTATACAGAAGAAAGTATACAGGGTGTCCCAAAAGTGCAAAATAACTGTATATAACAATGGTTAGATCGCAAAGCTATGTGAAGATAGCACAGGGATACCTGTATCGAATATAAATGTAACAGTATCTTGCCAAAAAAAAAAAAAAAGGAGAAACCTTTGGTTACATTTAACAGTGTATAGTGTTCACTGTCCCTGTGCATCCAAACAGACTCAGAAAAAATATGTAAATAGTGCTGACTAAAAGCCTATATCTCGCACAATTATATATTTTCTCACATTCACAGTGCTTTTGGTCAAAAGAAAAGGGGAGAGGGAGAGAGGGGAAGGCACTGGAATGTGTTTTAATAGTGCAAGAAAAAATATATGCACTGAAAAAGAAAAACTCCTACTACAACGAAAAAATAAAAAAGGGTGGGGGGGGGGAATAATGCCAAAATTAATAGATAAGGTGTCCGGTCCACATAAAACCCCGCAATGTTGAGATCAGAGTGGGGCTCAGGGATCACACGGGCAGTGCCAAAATAAATTGTTTGTGAGTTCTGGTCTTGGCACCAACCAATATAATGCTCGTCTGAGGATCACTTGAGAGCCCCCTAGCCCCTGACGCGCGCGTTTTGCCCGCAGCTCATCAGAGGAGATATGAGTGTGAGACATAGATCTCATTATTTCACCAACGTCAACATACCCAAGTAATGTACATATCAGGATACTAGATGGTCACGTAAGTAACAGATAACAGGCAAACAGTGGTAAAAATAAAATTAAATAAGTCGATCAAAATGTGTTGAAAACAGGCAATTCAGTAACAAGTAGATAACTGAAACACAGTCTGATCAGTTACTGTACATATAAAAAAACTTAAGTTGAAAACTTCTCCAGACATTACATCCAAGATATTGTGACGTTGGATCTCCTACACCTGGAATACAGACATTTGTATTATATGTTCAGTGCTATAGGACCACCCAGCAGGATAATATCACTAGTAAATACAAAACAGTGTGACAATATTTGAAATAGGCAGCACTGGTAAAATATCCCTTGCAGACTTATGGTGAACTTATCAGAAAATTATGTAAAATTTACTCAAAACCATTTTGAGAGTCCATTAGTGACCTTCTTGTCTCATCTGCAGTGATGTGAGCAGTAGGGATAAAACAAATAACATTCCAGTGTGTAAGACAATACTGAACTGAACTCACAAGGCTGCGCTAAGAGCTCCCCTAAGAAAACTCAAAATGTAGGCTCCTACAGGCTACTAAATATAATTAGTGACAAACAATATTGTTTGAAACAGTAACAAAAATGTGTGCTTGGCGCTTCTTAAAATATTAAATAACTAAACATGTACGGTTCTGGGCCATGTGAGTTGTATTCCTACAGTATTATTAAGGCACTTTATATTTTACAGTTCGCACTATGTTATTTTCTATTTCGTTTTAGGTACTTTATATTATTACCTTGATATCAACATCCTGTGTATAGTTATATACATTACGTTTTCTATGCACATTGCATATCTTTTTTTCCTCACTGGTAATATTTTATGCACTGATGTATATTTGTACATTTAAATATCTGAAATAGGGCTCACTAGAAAAGATACAGCTAAAAGCAACATCTTAACCAAAGACTCGAAATTCCCACTTGTCAATAGCGAGTGAATATCTAGCAAGAAGAAATTCACCTCTGGCAAATGTAACGTTGACCTTCGAGGCCTGCGGTGCCAAGTAACTTTGAAGACTTGGCTATGACCGCCTCAGAACCAATGACTTTATTTGTGTCACAAACTAAATAGGATTTGTGAAACCCTTACACATAAAGAGTCCTATATAACAGTAACATAATCAAATCATGAAAGTCCTTGTAGATTATTCATCAGAGAGGAGTTAAAGATAAAAGGAACACCACAATACTGGCCATAGATATCCAGAGTCATTGAATGTGTTCCACAGCTACACCTTAGCCAAGAAACACAGATGATTGTGCATTCTCCCTGCAGATTAGAAATGCATATTGTGCAGCACTTACCCAGTAAACACCTCTAGTGTCCATCTGAGTGACTCCCACTAGAGGTGTTCCTATGCAGTACTATTCTCTGAATAGGCAGTGTTTACATTAAAATGCCTGCAGGGACCGAATATACACACCCAAACAACAACATAAAGCAAATACTTCTTCTGGTGACTAGTGATGTACCGAACGGTTCGCTGGCGAACGGTTCCTGGCGAACATAGCATGTTCGCGTTCGCCACGGCGGGCGAACATATGCGCGGTTCGACCCGCCCCCTATTCGTCATCATTGAGTAAACTTTGACCCTGTACCTCACAGTCAGCAGACACATTCCAGCCAATTAGCAGCACACCCTCCCTAGCAGACCCTCCCACCTCCTGGAAGGCATCCATTTTAGATTCATTCTCAAGCTGCATGCTTAGTGCGAGGAGGGAAAGTGTAGCTGCTGTTGATTAGATAGGGAAATGCATAGCTAGGTTAGGGTTAGGGTATGCTTTTTTTTTTTTTTTTTTTTTATTGTAATGTAATTGCACTTAGTTGTCTGCCACTGCTGCCAGCTTC